ACCAGCGCAGGATGGCAGATGTAGTTTGTTAGACAGAAAAAAGTTCCAACACGGTCTGTGGATTATCTTGAGTAACCTCGTCTGATTTCTGGAAAGAGACATTGCTGTTGAGTGCCATCTATGTTGTTCCATTATATTCAAGAGAAGGCAGACACCTCTATGGCTGATATCTCCAACACTTGACAATTCACACCAAAACAATCTGGACTAACAAAAAGAACTACAGATAATAGGAAAAACACGTATTTTCGATTTTGGGGTCAACTATCTCTTTAAGACCACTGCAGCTGTGGTTCAGAGGGTCGTCCACCAATCAGAAGATCAGCGGTTCGATCCCCAGCTCCTCCGGTCTAAGTATCCTTGAGCAAGATACTGAACCCCAAATTGCTCCCGATGGCTATTCCATCCATGTGTGAGTGTGTAAAAAAAAAAAAATGAGTAGCAGGTGGCACCTTGTATAGTAGCCTTGGCCACCAGTGTATGAATGTGTGTGTGTGAACAGGTGACTAGTAGTGTAAAAAGCGCTTTGAGTGGTCGGATGACTAGAAAGGCGCTATACAAATGCAGGTCCATTTACCATTACCACTGATGCCTTGAGCTAATCAACATGCTAACATACTCAAAATGATAATGCTAGCATGTTGACCTTTAGTTGGTATAATGTTTACCATCCTAGCTTAACGTGTGCTAACATTTGCTAATCAGCACTAGCCCAAAAGTACAGCTAAGGCTGATGGGAACAGATGATGGTGCTATGGAAGGTTAGGGGATCACACTTTTTACAAATCATCCTCTGGGACCATGAATGCCTGTATCAAATATTACTGCAATTACTGCAAAGCCCAATAGTTGCTGAGACATTTCAATAAAACAAAAAAAGTCAGGGGATCACCAAATTCAGTAGGATCCTGAGAGGGCATGAATCTCTGTACCAAATTTCAAAGCAATCCATCACATAGTTTATCTAGATATTACTCTAAATGTTGAGATATTTCACTGAATAAAAAAGTTTGACCATCTGGACTACCTCCATCATACAGATGTCAGATGACAGTCTATTCGCTGGTTGTCAAAATATCTCAGTCTGGACTACATACTGTAAAGTGGACATGGTCTCTGGGTCTGACATGTAAAGCTAATACAGACGAGCCTCAAACCTGCATTCTTCCTAATGGCCAGCAGGGGGGGGTGAAAAGAAACCTGATTATATACAACTATGAGAACATGACCGTACTTCTCACTTTATCAGGGGCGGGCTGGCCATAGGGAGGTTCGGGAGTATTCCCAAACGGCTGGTCTGTTCCAGGCCGAACCGGCCGGTGGACGGAACGTTTTTTTTACCCCATAAAACACAGCCGCGGTTGACCGCAGCAGCCTGCCCTCGCAGCCACAGGTGGCAGTGGCACAGAGTGGAACGTCAGACGGAGTTCATCTAACATTTTGCATATTAAGGGGGGATACGAGCAGTTAGCAAGCACTGCCTACATGGCCCTATCATCCCAGGCGGGTCGGGCCAGCCCGACAAACCCGACCGGATCCATGGTTTCGGGCCAAAAAAATATGCAAATGACTCAGGCCGGGTTGGGCCTCAGGCTTTCTTATTGCGTCAGGTCTGGGCTTGAAAACCCGCAGGCCGGGTCGGGTCGGGTTGTAATTTTCAGGCCTATTGACAACTCTAGTTTGTGTTTTTGGATGTGTTCAGGGCACACAGAACATTAAAGGTAGCCTATCAGCAATGTTACACCATACGTGCATAAATCATTAATCTGCTTTATCAATTAAAAATAAAATCCATACTGGCTGACCAGAAAAACGCACAAATTTCTTTATTGCAAAAGAAAACATAGCCTATTTCAGGAGAGAGTCTGTGTTCAAAGTTAAAAAGATAATATTGGAATATATAGGCTATACATCCTGTTTTCCTGTTCTGTTTCTACATTAATATATGGACCGTTTCATTGCTATTCTGTTGCTAGGGCAACAACTTTGGTCCCTGTTTACTTCCTGTCAGCTTCTGCATTAACATACATTCAAACAAGAAATACAAAGGGACCCATTTAGAATGTTTATGTTGTCCGGTTTGAAACGGCCTATAGCCATTTTTACCAGCTCAAGAAAAATACATTAAAGTGAGTAATTCATTTACAGTGTGTGTGTGTGTGTGTGTGTGTGTGTGTGTGTGTGTGTGCGCGCATATGTGTGCGTGTGTGGCACTTTTGTTATGTTGATTTTTATATTGTATTTGTGTTCTAACACTGTGAATTCTTTGCTATAACGTTTATCATTGTTGCTGTTATTGTTATTATTAGCTGACAAGGCCAGTGTCAGTCGTGGAGTTGATGCAGAGGGACAGGATAATGGCAGTCATAGGAGTGAGGAGGAGGAAGAGACAGATGTGGAGGGACAGGAGAAGGAGGAGGAGGAGATGGAAGAGGAGGTGGAGGAGAAGAAGGAGGAGGACGAGGAGGAGAAGGACAAGGAAGAGGAGGAGGAGAAGGAGGAAAGTGGAGCAGGAACCACCAAAAAAACAGTGCCAGGTACAGGTGCAGTGTGCAGGACCGGGTTGGCAATAGGTCTTTGCATAGAATTATATTATATTCAATACACTCTACTGACTGACTAATCTGTGTGTGTTGTGTTTAATATCATTAGTTTGTTTTTATACTGCAAATAAAGTATTTGTGTTAAAATTACGGTTCCACTTCGTCCGTCATGCGATCGGAAAAAAGGCCTCTCCAAATCAAGCTCCCGGGCTGAATTTCAACCCCAGCCCGCCCCTGCACTTGATTATTACCTCAGTTAACATTTTACTAATAGGTTTATGGTCTCAATCTTTAGTTTCAGGTCTTCTTCAATACAGCATGATGTTCTTTTAATACATTCAGATCTAATTTAGACTAAAACAGATGATAAAGCAGGGTATACTTTAGAACGTGGCCACCTTGCAAGTGACAAGTTTGCTACCACGGCAACCTGTCAAGCAGGATAGAGGCCTAGCAATGTGAATCTAGTCAAATCCCAACCCTTGCTCCACCACAGCTCAACCCTCTTGTCCAAATAGATCATTTCTGAAGAAGAAGATGGAGACAGACAAAGTGCAAAACTCGAGGCTTTTAAGTTTTCAGTTCAACCTCTATCAAAAGATTAAAAAGCAAACATGATCAGCACACATGTTTGAGCATTTATAAATGTTTCCTTCTATATGACATGGTGTCTGATATTCTTTGTGGGTCTTGAGGACTGTCACTGCCATGCAGAGCAAAGAGCAGTGGGGTCAAGGGAGTGTGTCATTGGAGCAGCTTGGTGCCTGGTAGGGGTTCTTTTGTGTCCTGACCTGTTGAGGCTTATTAATGATGCTCTATGTAGCTCTATTATGCCAGATCAGCTGATTATTACAAAAGGGCCCCCTACAGCTACCCAGAAACCAACTCAATACACACACACCAAACACACGTTAAATGATCTGGGATATTGAATTATTTATTTATTTATTTTTAGGCATTTATTGGAGTTTTCTTGCTCTGTGCTGCATGCATGACCAAAGGATGGAATAAGCAATGCAAAGAGGTAGCACAAAGCAAGGTATTTTCTTAAATTTTGTAGTTAATGTTTTGCTGAGAAGAGATGAAGACCAGGTCTTAGAAGGAGGCCACAGTTGCAAGTGCCATCACAGTGATCTGACTAATACCACAGGAGAAGATAATGACTAATTAACATAGATATTTTGCCCTGTTACAATTAAACCAAGAGAGTCAAAGCAATTGGCAGCTGAACAAACAGAGACAGACAGACAGATAGATGCAAGGAACACAGTAGAAATCCATACGACGCGTTAACACATGAAGCAGTGAAGTTGTATAATAAAAGCCCAGAAAAACCTTCAGTATTAATTATTGTCGACATGGAAAAAATATAATTAGATATGAGGGGGAAACAGAAACTATTTATGGCAACCAAGGGGCCTTACTTAATGATCAGACGGCAGCTAAAACCTCTATTGATTTTCTTGTTAAATATACAGCTCAATTAAAGATACAGCTGATTAAAAGACAACCACAAATCGCAGCGGCAGATCTGGACACGCTGGGGAAGCTGGGTAATGTGGGGCCGCCTGCTGCAGTCAGAAACTTACATGATTTCATCCTCACCTTCTCCTTCATCACTGCAGTGCAGTGGGAAAATAGGCTACAAAGGTATTTTCCATGTGAAAACCAGTTTTTCAAGTTGTGACCATCTCAAATGGAGCTGTGATGCCCACAGCAGAATTCAAGTCTGATATATATGTTCATACAGCGCCTATAACAAAAGTATTCCTGTCTCAAGATTTGTGACAGAGCCACCCCTTGACTTTCAGCACTAAAAGCAGAAAATCAGCGCTGATAAGTCACAAACAACAACAATAACGCTGACCTCTGAATGCATAAAGCAGGAATTATCAAACAATACAAATCAACTTCCCTTGTTAAAATGAAGCACCTGCTTAACACAAGCCAGACCAAGGCTCTTTCCCCTTACTGCCTCAGCCTTGTCACTGAAATAAAAACCTTGACAGTCTGTGTACCCTTACCACGCGAGAAGGGAAGAATTACAATGTATAATGGAAAACCTTTCTGTTTCTCATTGAAGAAGAAAAAAACAGTTTAAGGTCTATAAACTGTTGAAGTTTATTTAAAGTTGTTCGCAAGTTTTAGCCACGGCATTATTTAGTCTTACATTTGTTTTGCTTTATTTCTGGATGGCTGTTATCAAGAATGTTTACATTGTAAATTCAAGTTGTATTTCTGTCACCAGTTGTGCTACATCTGGGAGACAGTGATGCATGCTTGGATTCAGGTATTTCTAAAGCCCAGTCAGTCATTTTTCATAATACAAAGCAGACGAATACTCGCATTTGTAAAAACAATATGTCTGTTTACTTCTTTTTTTCTTCTTCCCCTGTTGTTAGTCCTTGTATTACATTTGCATCACAGATTATGCCCTTAAATTGTGTGTGTGTGTACCTGCAGAGAGTTGAGGAGGATGAAGATGTAGGCCATGACAATGGAGAAAGGCACCAAGACACCACACAGCCACGTCAATCCGAGGATGGGCAGCAGCACCAACACTGCCTTCACTGCAGCCCTGTGTTCACCCACACGTGTATGCACACACACACACAGCACAAGAATGTAAGTATACACATGCATATTGGCAAACGCACAGGCATGAAATTATCAAGCACACACACACATCATACAGACTCTGAATTGGTCGACTGGCTGACTGAGCTGAACCCATACCACAACAGATAATATTAATTTAAGTATTAGTTAAAAAATTGCACTTCCTCCTGAGCTCAGTTCGGGGTTTCTGAACTTTTCAGCTCTTTTTGGACAAATACGAGCGGCTTTGGCAGGCCGGTTGTTCCATATACAACACTGTGCGGCTGGAAAGGCTCACGGGGTGACAACTTCCCACCTTAAATCCGCCTTAATTCTGTTTAGAGTGGAATTATCTTCCCGCTCAGGTGACCGCCAAACCGCACCAGCTGTGTGTGTGTTCATGTGTGTATGTGTGTGTGTGTGTATGTGACACGGCGGGCGGCGAGCGGCATAGGAATGTGTTTGAGTTTCCGAGACGGCTGCCACCCAGGGGTGCCAAATGGTTCAAGGCCTGCTTTGAGAACCTTCATAAAGCACCTACTGTGAGCCCCGGTGGGCTGAGGTAGTGAAAAAACATATACACTTTAATATGATTTTCACTGATAGGATCATATATAAGCCTGCTGGGGTGAAATCTACTGGATCGCACACAGCATAGTTTCACTCTGATGAGCGAACACCAGCGCCAAAAAAAGGAAGCAGAGGACAACAGCGGTGATGTAGCTTAACAAGATATCTTTTTTGCATGAATGCTGTCGTCCTATAGTCACAAAAGCGTATCTCATAAATAACATGCAGTTATTAGGGCTGACTAAATTACATCACAATCCTAAATAATTCAGCAGACAGACATACAACAAATAAAACATGCAAATAAGTGTATTGTGAGGATTTATATGGAGCATACAGAGCTACAGATTACAAAAATCTCTTTTTAAAATTTTAATTCACCATATAGTGTTGTATGCTTCATTATCATTCAACCCTAGACAACAACAAATACTAGATCATTAAAAAATATGTATAAAATTAGCAATAAAAATGTATACACTGCATCCCACCATTAGCAAGGATAATACCAGCTTCCATCCAAATATTTAGAGATCATTTCAGAATATTAATATCTGAATTAGGGTTTGATCAACATGGTTTTCCTGAATGACAGTAAAAGTGCTGCTAATTTTAGACTGCAGCTGCTGAGAGATGATTTTTTACTGATATTATATAATAACATAACGGGTCTTCAGGCCCCCCAACAAAAAAAAAAAAAAAAAATCACAATTTTCATAATAATATTAACAACACCACTAGAATTGCTATTGTCCTTGTCCTCAGAAACAATTTGGTACAAGGATAAGAACCTCCGACAAATGGTTTTAATGCAATGCAGTGTTTAGAGCAGAAATAATACTGTGTTAAATGAAGATGGCAGGTCAATAGGACCTTTTAGATTGAAAAAAAAAATAGCCAACACTGACACAACACATCAGAACAGAAAACCTGTACCAGAATATTTTTTGTATCTTGTCATCACTGAAAGATGCCAAAACTATAAGACCTGAGATTTTTTTTAAAAACACTTCAAGTGGTGGAGGCTTGATGCCGTTTCCATGAGCAGCACTAATGCAATCCATTCAAAATGTATTCCTATACGGTTTGATGAATGAGGCTCGCTGTTTTAAAATGACAAAATCCAATATAAAACCCTCCAGCTGATTTTTATTTGACGACCAGTGACTACACTTGTCTGCTCCAAGGCCTGTGGCCCAGGTGAATAATCTGAAGAAAAAAAAAGAGAGAGGACAAATTGCGCCTCCTTGTGGTTTTTTACCTGATTTGCTCATAGGCTTGATCCACAGGACTGGTGCCCATGGCCAACATGATGGACCGTCTCTTGGCTGTGGAGATGGTGATGACCACCACCCTGGTCAGAACCATGATATTGACCTGAAATGAACACAAAAGGACACAGAAATGAGAAGAAGAGGTGGTTGAAATGAAAGCGTAAAGACAATAAAAAGATGTTGGCATATCTGTGGGTCAGAGATTGTGGTAAAGGAAACAAAAGAGTAAAGAAATAGACACACAAACCAAACAACTGCTGCTTAAAAATGCTCTGCAACATCTGCCTGTATTACAGGTAACATTAGCTTCCACAGTGCAACATAATGTGGACCACAACAGGAAATAATTACACAACGGCTGAGTGCGTCTTGTATTTCAACCATTTCAGCCTGAATAAACTACATGATTAGGATCAAATTCTCTGACCATGATGATGAAGATGACAGGCCCAGCAAAGCCCCAGATGATGCCATTCTGAACGCTGAGCCAACAGTAGCCGTCGGCTGAGTATTTGCCCGAGGCTGATGCCAGCGTGATGGTGACTATCAGCACCGGCAGACCTGGAGTTAGTGAGGGAGGGGAATAAAAAGAAAAACAGAGGAGGAGGAGAATAAAGGGGAAGAATAAAAGTACCAAGAGATGGATAATCAGGAAGAGCAAAGGGAGGGGACAGGAGAGGGGAATGGAGCCACATTCAGAGACCTTTGTGATGCAAATGATCACAAACACCAGGCAAAAATCTACCGCATACTTCCAACACTTCACAAACTTGGTTTTACTTTCAAAATTTTATCAAATCCTTTATTAGATTACAATGTCCTGAACATTCACTGCAGATGTGTGTAGAGAGTGATTCTGTTACCCCAGCCGATGAGATAGTAATACTTCATGTGACGATCCTCGCTCAGGTTGACTGCGACCACCTTGCTCCAGAGCAGCAGACCCTCCACCAGCATCCAGCTAAATGCTGCCATGAAGAAGAGGTGGAGCAGTGCGGCCACAAGTGTGCACGCCACCTACAAATACACCAACACAGACACGCAGACAAAAAGAAGTTATATTTAATATTTCAAGCATTCAGATGAGGCTTCTGAGTGGCATGCCTCAACAGTACAAAGTATAACTTCAATTCCCATATCACAACTGGAGGAAGAATTTATAGAGGACATTATGTGAAGCATTTTACTTCTCTATTGCTAACAACAGACAGGAGTGGCTTCTGTCCTGAAGCACAAAAACACATAATGTCAAAGGTTAAATAACCCCATGTTGTTGATGGATTGTTCAGCAGCAGCTCATGACCATAGATGATGAATGAGGTGGCAAGTGGTCACTAATATCACAAACACACAAATTACTGTTTGTTGATGCATATTTTTGTGAAATCATGATGTAACAGATTTTACAGTGTGGATAAACTGAAGATTGTGTTCGAAATATATTGTGTTTATTCTAATTTATCCATTGTCACACCCAGATTCTGCAAATAGTCTGGATGACTAGCTGTCCTTCGCTGCCAACAATTCCGCAACAACCTGCTCCAGCAGCTTCATTTGTCGCAAAATTAGGAGAGTACCTCCATTCCTCGCCCAGGAGGCAGTGAAGGTTCTGGTCCAGGCCTTTGTCATCTCACATCTAGATGACTGCATCTACCTCCTAGCTGGTGTGTCTGCATGTGCCATCCAACCTCTGCAGCTCATCCAGAAAGCAGCGACCCAACCTGTCTTTAACCTACCTAAGTTTTCCCACACTACTTTGTTCATCCACACCCTGCCCTGGCTCCTGTCTGGTGGCTGCTTGAATCCGAATCAAGACACTGGTACTGGCCTATTGTAATAAGAATGCCTAAGGCTCATCCAAAATCCAGAGCGTGGTCAAATTCTAAACCCAACCCGTCTACTATGCTCTGCTACTGCCAATCAGCCTACAACTCCCTCAATACGAAGGAGACCCAGCTACCATTCTACTAAGTCCTGACTGCTGTCCTGGCTCCACGGTACTGGAACGAACTCCTCATTGCGGTACAGCAGAAGCTCTACACATTTTTCGTCACAGACTAAAAACTCATCTGTTTAGACACGGCACAATAGAATAAAAATAATAATTTTAAAAAAAATCTTTCTCTATCTCTTATTGTGGCACTTGAAGTGGCTCAGCATATTTGATGAAGTTGATTTATTTGCTTGATTCATGCATTTTGGGGTTGCACCCCATGGTTGAAGGCAATTATTGTCAGTCGCTTTGGAAAAACTGGAGAAATTGTGATGAGGATTTAAAAATCAATTCCTCAAACAATTGTAGAAAAGAATAAGAAAAAAAAGTAGAACAAAGAGAGTTGGTCTGATGCGTGGAAAAACTAGACAACATCTAAAATATGGCAGATTCCATTGGTGTAGTTACCAAATCGTATGTCGTGCAACAACAACAATCCCATTAAATCCTATCCTACTGAAGCATCCTTAGCAAGCCCTCCAGACTAATTTGTTGTAAACAGCACTGAAGTGGCTCAAACAGTGTGCTAAAAACCTTGTTAAAATCTGAAAAATCACCTTCCTGATGGTCAGTCAGCCTATATATACATATGAAACCACTTGATGGATTTTCTACTAGCAGCCACCTGCTCCCAGGGGTAAAGCCCACCCTGACATGACCTGGGGTCAAAGGACCAGGGGTCAAACCAACTACAGGCTATTTGGTGACTAGTGAGAAATGGAACCATGTGATGGATACGACATTAGTGGCCACTTATGTAACATCCAGTGCCAATGTATTCGTTTTAACGGGATCCCCAGTAGAAGTCTCATTACGATAGCTATTAAACACAGTGCTGTGGGTTAGGGTTTAAATGTACGGGAAGGTGGACACTTTTCAACCAAAGCTTGCACTGTACATGTAATGCCAATCTTTATTTATATTCCTAATATTATTGTTAAAATCTTTCTAATGGCTGATGTTAAATAAAAAGTTGCTTCCTTGCATTATAGGAATCTTTTGTCACTCAAATTTTTAACATTCCATTGATCATCTGTTTTTGTTACAAAGTTTGACAGAATCCAACATACTCTATTCCTTCCTTCCACCTTCCTTTGTTCCCAGTCTGCCTCTTGGTATGACAACATTAAGTCCTATGTATTGGTAAGTAGCATCAGATGCCTGTACCTTGTTGTGAATAGCTGAGCCACTGCAGAGCAGAATCACCTGGGCACAGATCAGAGCAATGAACAGGTTCTTATGGATGGACGTCCGGTCGGATTTGGGGATACTGTGGACAGGAACAGGGTTACTTTAAGTTTTTTGACAGAAGTGACAGCATTACGACACAGTGCTGACAAATACGTAAGGAAATAAATGGCACATTAAAGCATAGTAGATAGTTTTGGTAACTTAGCGTACAACACTATGCAAGTGGCCAACTGAGACTGGAAACCAGAAAACAAAATTTAATAGATGAATAAATGTTAGGAAAAGAAAGGCAAAGATTTATTTTCTAATAAAAGGGGCTTATCCTGTATATAGTAGCCATTTAGGAGATTTTAGGAGTAGGATTGCATCCAAATGGCAACCTCAGCCAGTGTTGAAGTGCCAAAAACTGCAGTTCATTGCATGACCACTTGAGGCTGGCTCCAAAACAGAGTAAATCCCCATTGACACCAGTGTTAAAATGCCCAACTTTACAGCAGAAATAAACATGTTCACAGCCTGCTACAAAAACCGGTTTTGGTCTCTATAGCATAATTTCAACATTCATGACAATTATGCAGGAGGTGAATTTTATAGTTTTATAGGCCCATAGTTACGGATATATAAGGGCAGGCTATCTGCGAGGTGTCACTGCAGTGTTAGTCAGATCCACCCCTCGCTCCTAAACAGCTCTACCCTCTCGTCCAAATATGGTCATTTCTGGCTCCAAAAAAACAAGTTGAAGATGGCCAAAATACCATACTCAAGGATAGAGTGGCCCAAATTTCCTTCAGTCTGAGCCCGGCTTTAGTGTTAGCATGTCAGCAGGCCTACTTTTAGTATGTCAACATAGATTTTAAATGTAACATTTAGAATAACATTCGCATGTTAGCATCCATTATTCTCAAAGCAAAGCTAATGTTAACATTAATTGCGTCTTTATTTTCAGAATTATCCTGTTATAAACTGAGTCAAGTGTTCATTTTGTAGTGCAAGTGGCTGCTAGCCCTAAAAAAGTGAGGGGATCACAGAACCTGATAAGGTCCATCCTCTTGTGACAATGACTGTCAGTATCAAATTTTACAACAATCCATCCAAAAATAGTCAAGTTAAAATTCTGTACAAGTGTTTGACTCATGAACGGACTGATCAATCAATATTTCCTTCACTACAGTGACTAAACATTTAATAGTCAAGGCTGTAAAATGATTGGAATCTGATTGTGTGGCTGAATCATTCCAGATCTGTGTTTTACATTTATACTTTTCTTTGTACTGTTGCAGTGAACGTGAGCTGTATCTAAGAGACTGTAACATGTCACACTCAATCTTTTAACTTACTACCACTGTTTCAATATGTTTTCCAGTATGTTTTTTTCTGGATATTTGATCAATACTATGCTGGAAGGCAGTGTATATTTGGTTCATGTACCAGACAAACTTACATCACACCATCTCCTACAAACACATTTACCGTCTTAAATAGGCTGAATATTTCCATTTCAGGTAACAAATGAAATCGACAGCCAAACCTGGTTTAGAGAGCTAAATGAACTGAAGAGCTTCTCATTACCTCCTGATGGATTCAGCCTATTTAAACGCATTTCATATCTGCATCACTGCTTGTGACCACCATAATTTCATGGTGTGATCACCCATCCATCTACAGACATGTGTACCTCTACTTTGTGTGTGTGTGTGTGTGTGTGTGTTGTGTGTGTATTTAAGCACACAAATGTATGTACATCATACACATCAGCCAGTGTGTGAAATGCATGGCTGCCCTCTGATTTCAGGACAGTCATAAATTGTCGGGGCAGCTCCTCTCCGACTGATTGTGATCCCTCAGTGACCCTAATGTTAATTAACGGCTGCGGAATGCCGCCATAAACCTTCACAGTGGACTCACATGTAGAGCGCAGTAATTACTGGATTAGCCAGAGTCAATACTCACAGCAGCCTTAGGAACAGAGCGTGAGCAGTGCAGTGCCAATAAGTTAGCTCTTTCTTTTTAGATTATGGGAGAGAGTGTCACATCAAAGCCAATGAGGAGATGTGAAAGTCAAAAGTGGAATGGTGACTTTGATCATGTCAGCATTCCTAAACTGAGTACGCCTAAATGTTGTTTTAAGGTTTACATTGTTATTATTACTAATTATTACTAACACAAAAGGCACTGACAGATGCTGAGTTGTGCGCAGAGGCTCAACCAGGCAAAATCCAGGCAGATATGTTGGCGTTGTAAGTAAGCAGGACAGGAAAATCAGCTACTCACTCCAGCACAGTGAACAGCATCAAGGTCACCACCAGTGCACACAGAGACGCGCCAGAGCCGATGAACGTCAGCTTGGTCAAAATAAGCTCTTCCTCAGGACTCCACTGGGACAGGAGGGAAAGGTAGTGGTGAGGGAGAGAGAGGAGAGAGGAGAATGCTGTCAAATGATCACAGGTTTGATCCATCTGATGCTCTCTCAAAGAAATTAAATTTCAAACTCATCTCTTAATGTGTGTGGTGGCTAAATGCCAAAAATGTACAATTTTAAATTGTCAAAGTGCTGCTGATGATTTTGTTTTTTGTTTATTGTACTGCATTTTATGTACTTTTTTAAAGAACAGTTCTACCAGTGCATTTTTAAGATGATAGGCACACTGGGAGTGACACCTGCTGGTTACTAAAGTGTACTACAAATCCTATCCACAATTTCAGAGGTCAAAGATGACGACCCAGGGCCATATTCACAAAGCTTCCTAGTGCTAAGAGTTGCTCCTAGTGACAAAGAAAATTCCTAGAATTTTGATTTTTACTTAGACTAGGTCCTGGTAAAGATAAAAGTTACTCACAAAGCATCTTAGACCTTAAATTGTTAGGAGTACAGAGGAGGCCTTTTAAGAGGCTTAAGCATTTCTTATGTAGAGGAGAAAAAGGCAGAGAGACAAACATAGGATGACAATAAGTAAATGAAATGCTACAGATTAGATCGTGCAGGGATAATATGTGTGGTCGACCTCATTAGGGATACGCACACATTTCCCACCCAACGCAATAACGCTATGATGCCAGAAATAAAATAATCACAGGACTAAGATATTTGACAAACTGGAAAAATGCATCGATGACTTTGATCTGTCCAAACCTTCCATCATCAGAGTGACTACACCAACAGTCAGAACACTTTCACAGTCAGCAGTTCATTTCATTTCTACTGGTTGTCCGCACCCACTCACAAAAGGGTGTGTCTGTGACAACTGACAACCAATCACACCTATGAAAAGAATGCATCATACCTAGCAACAGGGTCAACCACACCCCCTCACTAAGGTAAAGGTTTCTGTCCCTTCCTTGCTCAGATTTGCTCTGAGAACTTTCCTAAATCACTCCTGAGCTAGGACTCCTTGCTAAAAATGTTAAGGCTAAGTTAGGAGCTCTCTGAGAGTGCTTATTACACACATGCACTTTTGTGAGCCTGTGTGTGGACACACAGTGGAAATGAAATGAACTGCTGACTGTGAAAGTGTTGTCATTGTTAGTGTGATCACTCTGCTGATAGAAGGTTGAGACAGACTCAAGTCATCACTGCTGCACTGTTGCATTTTTCCAGTTGCCAATTATCTTAGTGTTGTGATCACTTTATTTCTGGCGTTATACTGCTGTTAGGTTGGGTGGGAGATGTGAGCGCATCTCTAATGAGATCAACCACAATCATTAAACATTTCATTAACTCACTGTCATTCAGCGTTCGGAGAATATTTCTTCTATTTCTTTTTTTCAACCATTTTCTTCTTTGTTTAACAAATTCTTAAAGGTCCAGTGTGTAGGATTTAGAGGGATATATTGGCAGAAATGGAATACAACACAAAAAGTACATTTTCTGTAGCGTATTATCATCTCAAAATAAGAAACGTGTTTTCACAGCCATGTTTCTACAGTAGCCCAGAACAGACAAACCAAACACTGGCTCTAGAAAGGGACATTCACGTTTTCGCAACAGCAACCATAGGTCTCCTACATGTTTGACACACAAGAGAAGTTTCAGTTGGTTACAATCTACAACCTTACTGCTAGATGCCACTAAATCCTACACACTGGACTTTTAAGCCTCTTGAAAGTCCTCCTCCCTACTCCTAACAGTGTTTCAGCTTAGGGGCTCTCTTAAAACCTAAGACACTTTGTGAATTACTTTTATCTTTCCAAGAATGTAGTCCTAACTTTAAAGGGAAAATTCTAATTTTCTAGTTTTGTCACTAGGACTCTTCTTCTTCTCTGAATACGGGCCCTGGATTTAGATTTTACATCAACAATATTAGGACTCTGATGTAAATCATTTATTTCACAAGACAGAAAAAAACTATCACATATTATCAATATGAAGTATGTTTTAAAATTTCACAACACCCATAACTTTAACCACAGAAGTTACAGTTAACATTTTCCATCATACAACCTGTTTTTATCTTACTGCATCACTAAACATCTCATGATTACCTTCGACTCCAGGTAATTCATCAGCACTGCGAAGTTGGTGGTGTGGTTGCACAGACAGGAAGTAACACCAGAGCCAGCAAAGGTCACTCTGCAACCATCACTGGACCAGCTATTAGTATGATTATGCCTATACAGAACGATACACAAGCACAGACACACACAAAACACTCTCATTAATTAGTTTCAGAGAGCAGAGACATGTAGTATAAACATTAATAATCAAATAAAGGATTTTTGATCTAGCCATCTGTGTTAGGATATCTACTTTTGGAAACATCACATGTACATCTATTATATCCGACTGTTGTATATCCAGCATTAAAGTGTAAAATATGTCCTTAAAATTAACAGTACACAAGAAGAGGTCAACTCTTCATCATTGACCCAATAGCTTCATTCTCTTTTGCTACAACATTCGCACTCATCAGGGTTGTTGATGTCAAACTTACATCAAGCTGAAATTCCAAAAAGCGCAAACAGGAGTAACTCGCTGTGAATACTCCACCTAGAAACAGAAACACATGTTTGCACTTGTTTTCTCTCTCTGTCTCTTTTAATATATGACTCTGAATTCTAACCAGCCAAACGCAACATGGATAAAAACCATGTGCTGCTAGCAGGGAGATGGAAATTCTTGTGAAGTGACATATTACAATTGGTGAGTTTATCAAAGGGCAACAAGTTAACTATAATTCAACTGCTATTCCCCAAAGAGTGATTGGTTTTTACAAGATGTTTGTCATCAGCATAAATTTCAGTTTCAAGTCAGAACTGCGTGTTGCTCTTTGTTGTTGAATGCTGCAGACCCAAATTAGCATCCTTAAATCTTATATACTAAATGACTTGTCATGATGTCCAAATATATACATGATTTACACACTCACTGGTCACTTTATTAGGTACACCTGTTAAATTTTAGGCATGTAGACATGGTCAGGACAACCCGCTGAAGTTCAAAATGAGCATCAGAATGGGGAAGAAAGATGATTTAAGTGACTTTGAACATGGCATGGCTGTTGGTGCCAGGACAACACGTTGAACCTTGAAGCAGATGGGCTACAGCAGCAGAAGACCACACCAGGTGCCACTCCTGTCAGCT